CAGATTTATTATTAATTAAAATTTCTCAAAATAATATTTGAGTTTCAAATATTTAAAATATTCTAAAAATAAAATCAAAAGATAAAATTGACTTTAAATTGTGGGACAAAGGGAATGACAAATTTAATATAATTAACAATTTAGAAATTGACTTTATTGCCATAAAAAAAATTATTTAATCAATAGTCATATTCCATTTTCATCAAAAAGGCGTTCTGACGTTTAAAATTAATTTTTTTTTCTCTCAATTATGAAGAATATAAACATGTTCCGGGGCACTGTATAATTTTTTAAAATATTAGCTTTGCTCGTGCAAAATACAAAAAGAAAAGGCCCTGCCGACTGCAAATATAGTCAATGACTAACAGCGACGTATTCACACTAAATAATAATATCATGGGTTTTCTTAAATAAAAAATTAAGTGCCTCTTTGTGGAATTTTTTCCTTTCAAATAATATGAAATCTCTAAACCTATCGCACCCTCACATTTCCAATCTGTTTGCAAGGCCATCCAGCCAGCCCCAAACTCTCAGGGTTAACCCTCAGCATGAAAGGCCTCATTTGATACTTAATTAATACCATATTCGATTAAATTAATCTAATATATATACTAAGTAACAAATTAAATTACAAACTCAACATAAATTATAATATATATACTAAAACTACGGAATAATAATATTAATTACTTTAGGAAGTAATTATGGCAGCTGTTGGGCAGTCCATAAATTATCCAGCTGTATTGTGTCTCACTCTCCAGAATGTTTTCCTTAATTTCTTTTATGTATTTTTATATGGTGGGGCTTTCACTCCTAGAAGTTTTGCTGCATGTGCTTGGATTCAGCATATGTAGCTGCTGTCTTACACATTGACTAAGCTCATATGATTAAGGATTGAATTAATGTAGAAAAAAAATACTATTAAATTTGATTTTTTTTTTTTTAAGAAAAGAGGTTGTGATTTGGTAATATTAGAAAGAATTATAAATATTAAAATTTAAATTATAAATATATCAAATATCATATCTAAAAAATAATTATTTAAATCAATTAGATTATATTTCGAATTTAAATTTAAACCCATAATTTACAAATAAATAATTTTTTATTCTTTATCAATTTTATTTTTATATAATAAAGTATAAATATATATGTACGAGCCTAACTTATAAAATACAATTATTTTAAAAAAATTTGTTTTTATGGCCAAAATTATTTGGAAATAATGGCTATAATTAACTTTTTAAACAAAATCTAGTTATTTTCTTTTTGAAACAAGCATTTTAGGTGAGCGTGCTAGAAAGTTTTCCACATGCTTATAATCAACTCAAAGCAATGTGTTACACAAATTACTGTTTTAATTAGTTCCCATGTCATATTCTAAATAAATGTTAAAAAACCAATCATCTTTGTTGAATGTATTTTGATATATATATATATATACAAAGAATGACTTGACTCCTAACCTGTTCATTAATTTCTACTTTTGACTTGACACGACAAGTAGTTAGCAATATTACCTCGTCGGAACCAATTCATGAATGAGTGTAAGTTACAAATAAATCAATAATTTTTAGACTGATATTTTTTTTTTTTGAAAAATATGGACTGATTTATAATTAATTAGTTATAGACAAATGAAGACAATTAACCATGGTGATTGGCATGGTAACTATTTATTTAAACAATGACATCTTTCTTTTTCTTAAGTTCTTACATTTTTTTCGTTAAACAAAACTATTATTTTATTTATTTTGGTACTATTATTTATATGATTTTAAACTACTTTATATTTCCTTGAGTTTTAAGTTTTAATTTTTCTTTTTTTGAAAGTGTGTATTCGTGAAAACGACTGGAATTTGGATTTAATATGGTACTAATTTTATAATATTATTTATTATAAAAATTATAATATTATTAATTTTTTATAAATCTTTTTATAAATTTTTTTTTGTTTTTTGAGTTTAAATAATATTTTGTATACGTATAAAAAAATCATAATTTAAAAATAATAAAAATGATTACAAACGATTTAAAATTTGCTTGATGCATTTAAAATATCTTTCTTCCTTCTAATAAGGTTATTGTTTTTTTTTTTTTCAAGTTTCAAGAGTACAAAACCTTACATTAATAGGAAAAAGGAAGAGGTTGGGTCCAACTCCAACCTTATGTTTTTTTTTAAGGCTTATTTGACCACTAAACCGAATAGTTGAAGATAAAATTATAATATTGGTTTAGACACATATATTTTGGGATTGAATTGAATGTCATTTCTCTTACTAGTGTTCTATAATTAATTCAAACTTCTTGATTTGTTATGACAATGGCTCGTGCTCTCCATGTTTTAGTGAACAAATTTTGCCACCAAAAAAAAAATCATGCTCTCAAATCTTAAGCCTTTAATAGGAATTTATTCTAATTAATAATTTGTTTTGTAGTATCCACACGAGGAGATTAAAAATAAAGCAAATCAAGTTACAAAAAAGGGGTATTTATTTCCACAAAAGATGCTAATAGAAAGAACCTAATTATAATATTATATATATGAGAACTTAATCATAATTTTATAACAATGAAGAATATTATTAGTACTAATAATTACTACTATATGAATTTACTTGTCATATGGTATCTGAATAAAGTGTTCGATTCTCATTTAAAAAAATAAATACTACAGAATTGCAAGAACCACTTGCTATTTCGCATCAATGTAATCATTTTTCATGATACAAATGGAGACAATGATGCTATTTACAACCAAAGGTCACTTTATCTTTCGTTGAAAAAAAAAAAAAAAGGATATGCAAATTATTTTTTAAAGAGAATCGAAAAAAAAAAATCTTAATTTATAATTTAATTTAATTGATTTATATGATTATTTTTAAAAATAATATTTAATATATTTAAGATTTAAATATTAACATTTAGAAAATTTTATTCTCAGATTATAATATATTTTATAAAATAATTTAACCAACAAATAAAACAAAAAAGGAAGAAACTAATATTGTTTGTTATGTATAAAAAAATATGAAATGGATAATTTGTTCAACTTTACAAGTTAAAACCATTTAGGGTGTTCGATGGATTTCGATTCGATTCGATCTGATTTCATAAGATTTTTTTTTTTAAATCGAATTTTGGGTCGAGTTTGAATTTTAGACAAATTCGATCCGACTCGACTCGACTTGATATTTATATAAAAATTAATTTTTTTAATTTATATATATTTATATATTAAAATATTTATATTTTTAAAAAATAATATTTTATTAATTTTAAATCAAATCAAATATAATTTATATAACATCATATCAAATCAAAAATAAAAAATTAAAAAAATTTTAAATCAAATCAAATTTAAATTTAATAAATATAAAATTAAATTAAATTTAAAATAAATAAAAATTTACTTCAGTCCTATTGTCAAACTTAAAACCATCCGCCAACAGTTACTTAAGATTAAAAAAAAAAACTGAAAAGAGACAGGAACTGCAAATACTAAACAGATACATTTTCTCTAACATTTTTTTTGGGACGCTATCTTAGGTTTAAAGCATATAATAATAGGCCTCTATAATTAATTTTCCACGTTCCAGTACTTGTACCTGCCCTGGTACTCAAGTATTGACTACCCCTCTCATTTTAGTAAACAAATAGGGAGAAATTTGTAACTTAATGTGAAGGCATTAATCAAAAAAATAATTTATAAAAAAAAAAAAAAAACCATTTGTAAAGGCATTGCAAAATGAGAAGCATCTGACCTGTCTGTCACATTGGATTTAGACAACACAAAGGACTTTTCCATCTCTGTTCAAAGCTTGGACCAAGGCCACTCAAACTCCCCTTTCTTTCTTATTTATTTATTTTTTTCCAATTTTTTAATATTTTCCCTCTACTCCGAATAAATAGGACATATAAAAGGGTAGTGATATATATACTTTTAATTTCATTGCTTCGTTTTTTTATTCATATTTATTTTTAAAAGATTCTATTTAATAAATTTAAATTTTAGTAATAATAATTTTTTATTTTATAAATATGATTTTTTTTACAAAAAATACCTTTTTATACATATAATTGAGATATTTTCAATTTTATCTAAATCTAAGTGTATGACAATTTTAGAGTTATATTTTCTTATGTCGATATGATATTTTTTTTATTAATTAAATTAATTTTTGTTAATAGGATTGCAATATACTATTTAGTAGAATATATATAACTCATAAAATTAAAAAAAAATATTAATCATAGAATTAAATCACAGAAAAAGACAAAACTTAGATAAAAGTTTTTAGACAAACTTTGTAAATTATAATTTTATAAAAAAATTAAAATTAAAATTTATTATTCAAATTTAATAGATATTTATTAAATAATAAAATTTTTTATTAAAATTATCTATAAAAAATATACAAAAATATATTAATTTCTTTAAAATTTTACATACTTAATTCATATAATAAAACTTTTCTATCTATAAATTTTAATTTAATTATTTTTAATAAAAAACAACATAAACTTCAATTAAAATTTTCATTTTAACTCTTTCCAACAAATGAAAGGTTGAAAACTTTGAAAGTAGATGAAGCTTTTTCAAGCTTAATAATCACTATAGATTAGGTACCGAAAAGGCCAAAACAGATAGGGATGCATAACCCAAGTCGCCGGTGAAGACATCATTCACCGATGGACTAACGTCGGGAAATTAAATGAAATTCCACCACTTTTCTATACCAGCCGCACACTTGTAGTTGTTGTAAATTAAAAAGAGCAAAATAAATATAAAAATGGAAATAAGAGAGAGAAAAATATTAAAAACACAACAACCAGAGATGACAGAGCTTATATAAGACATTGTTCTCTCTTATTTTCTCAAGCTCTTATTTATTTTTTCTCTCATTTTTGAACTTGTTTATTCAACAAGTGCTCTGCTTTCTGCTTCTGTTTTTCTTCCAAATAACAGAGGCAGAAAAAAGGGTATAGTTGAAGAAATAAGAAAATTATTGTTTTCCAAAGGATTTTAAGTTTTTCTTTGTCTGTGTAATGTACATTTCTTAGCAGCTGGTTAAGATTAAGGATCTTAGAGAAGGTTTTTAGATTGTTGGTTGCTGCAAAATGGTGGGGGTTTTGAGCCAGTGACTGACATTGTTTTCCAGCTAGCTTTTCCTCCATTGTTTCGCGTAAACCAGAAGCAAATTCCCAAAGAAAGAAAGAAAGAAAGAAAAGAAGGGAAATATTCCATCTCTTTCCTCAATTAATGTCCTTTATATGTACGCAGATCTAGTGGGCTGTTTTCAAAACCTGTGTACAATCATCATTCACTCTTGTTCTTAGCTTCCCGTTTGGTCCTCCTCCGTTTTTGCTCTGTTTTTGTTTCGAAATGGATCGGCTTTCTTCAACAACTGTTCTTCCTGACACATTCCAGGGGACGAGAGATGATTTCTCCATGCAAATGGCATTGATTTGGGGACAGATCAAAGCGCCATTGATTGTACCATTGTTGAGACTTTCGGTTATCATTTGTTTGATCATGTCCTTGATGCTTTTCATTGAGAGGGTTTATATGGGCATAGTCATTCTGTTGGTAAAACTCTTTGGTCGAAAACCAGAGAGAAGGTACAAATGGGAACCATTAAAAGATGATGTTGAGCTGGGAAACTCAGCTTATCCCGTGGTTCTGGTTCAAATCCCAATGTACAATGAAAGAGAGGTCCTTTTCTTTCCTTTTTCGTTAACACAAGATTACAACATTTTCCAATTTTTAAAAGTTCAATCTTTGATGTAATTTTAAAAAAAAAATTTTATTAATAATGCAGGTTTATCAACTGTCCATTGGAGCTGCATGCGGCCTCTCTTGGCCTTCTGATCGGATCATTATTCAAATCCTTGATGATTCAACTGACCCAACAATTAAGGTAAAACCTCCCGAAAAAACCAAAATTAAAAGACCATTTGACTTTTACTAACTAGTTTAGTAAGAATTATAATGATTTGGGTTGTCTTGTTTTGTTGCATGGATAAAACATTTTTAAAAAATGAAGGATTTGGTGGAGTTAGAGTGCCAAAGATGGGCAAGCAAAGGCATCAACATCAAGTATGAAATAAGAGACAATAGAAATGGCTACAAGGCAGGCGCTCTCAAAGAAGGCATGAAACGCAGCTACGTCAAACATTGTGATTACGTAGTCATTTTCGACGCTGATTTCCAGCCTGAACCTGATTTCCTTTGGCGTACCATTCCTTTCCTTGTTCACAACCCTGAATTAGCTTTGGTTCAAGCTCGTTGGAAATTCGGTAATTTCGCTTAATCACCTGTTAAATAGTAATCCAACTACTAGTAGTGTTAACAAATCCATCTCCCTTAATTAGCTTTTTAACTAAAATAACACTCGTTTGTTTTGGTTTGTTTTCTTATAACCTTCATTTTAGATTTTTAATTTGTATATTCATGTGATGTATGTTGAATATAAAATATATAAAATATATAAAAATACATAAAAATTATCATATTATAAATTATGTAATATGATAAATATGAAATACGAAATCATCCGAATGCTTTGATGTGGGTGTGAAATGTGAAATAGACGTTGTTAAAACGATTATATTTTGGAGCACTGTCGGTGGGTCTCTTAGGGTATCGGTAGGTAGGTCCCTACCCTCGTGGATCTTTCGACGGTCCAACCTTTGCTGGCTGAACACAGATTTGGACACGTGCATACTTTATATCGGTGGGAAAATGAGCAGTATATAAAAAAGTTTAAAAGTAGAGAAAACTATTTCTAGATTTTTTTTTTCCATTTTAGCTTGTCTAACACTGTTCAGAAACAATGAAAATGCACCTGGAATTTGTCATTTTGGTGATTATTTTAACTTCCGGGACTTGGATCCTGCTGTAGAATCCAAGTCATTACTATAATTCTGAAAGCTATTAAGCAAACAATTTCATGGGATTGGGCTTTTTTTTTTATTATTGATTTTTGGTGGTAGCAAAGTTGCCAGAATTGCTAAGGACAATCTGGATAATTGGTGATTGTGAAATGCGAACATGGGGCAGTCTGGTGGGTTAATCTGACGAGTTTTATATCAGCAAAAGGAGGCTGAATGAATCAATAAAACGGACCCAAAAAAGTTAGCTAATTAATCTGGAATCACTTTCTAGCTGAAAAAAAGCTGCAAGAGTCCCTAGTATTTACTTGGTTAGGAGGTATACCAGAGTTTGGGTAGATCTACCCCAGTGTCCTTTCCAATAAATGTTGAAAAGTGCCCTCAGGAGGGGCATGTTTGGGCTAAAAGAATATCGATAGGGTTATCTTGTCTTGTACAGAAAAACTTCTTCTCATATTCCCATTAGCTGCATGTGCAAGCTTGTCATTATCCATGTGTACTGTCCGACATTTGATTTTTCTTTCCCTCTTGATTTCATCATCATGATATTTGTTGATAAGAGATTCTCATTAATGACAGCTAAGATGCTAACGTGGCAATGGTTTCCGGGATGTTTTTCTTTTTTTTTTTTCGTTTTATCTACAGTGAATGCTGATGAGTGTTTGATGACAAGAATGCAAGAAATGTCACTGGATTACCATTTCACTGTCGAACAAGAAGTGGGGTCTTCAACTTGTGCCTTCTTTGGCTTCAACGGTAATGAAAAAAGAAACAAAAAACAAGAAAGAACCGTTAAATGGAATTTATTATAGATGAAATGAATTAAACTTTTTTTTTACCAATTGTTAAATTTTAACCCTAAGTCTCTAGTGGTTAAACTTGTATAGGAACGGCTGGTGTGTGGAGAATTGCTGCTTTGAATGAGGCAGGAGGATGGAAAGATAGAACCACAGTGGAGGATATGGATTTGGCAGTCCGAGCTAGTCTGAAAGGCTGGAGATTCCTTTACCTCGGAAGCCTAAAGGTACTGTCCTGAGTTCTATCAAATCCAGTTTTCTGGATGAATCTGCTGAACTCATTGGAAGTCAGACAGATATCAGCTTTCTTTGGTCCAATACTGTTAACCAATATGAAAAAATGTTTAGAATTTTACTGCTTGACTGTAGGTGAAAAATGAATTGCCTAGTACCTTGAAGGCTTATCGTTATCAACAGCACCGATGGTCTTGTGGTCCTGCTAACCTTTTCAGGAAAATGGTGATGGAGATCATTACAAACAAGGTTAGCTACTTAAACTGATTGATAAAATAAGGAGTTAAAACATCAGATATTTATTGGCTCGGTCTTTAATTTTTCCCCTTCGTAAAATTTACCGCAGAAAGTTTCCTCCTGGAAGAAGGTGCATGTAATCTACAGCTTCTTCGTGGTCAGAAAGCTTGTTGCCCACATTGTTACATTCATCTTTTACTGCGTTGTGTTACCTGCAACTGTTCTTGTACCTGAAGTTGAGGTTCCAAAGTGGGGAGCAGTTTATATTCCTTCTATCATTACCATTCTCAATGCAGTTGGAACTCCAAGGTGTGGTTCTTTTGCATTCTCTTCCCCTTGTCTCAATCTTTTTACCTTGATAGATTTTATTATTCTCTGGTAACTTGATATAGAATTTTGAATTCATCATTGGAAAAATCAAGTTTGACTATACTGGGCATTAACTGCTTGGTTTTAAATTTTTCCTGATAACATAGCAACAATATCATGTGTAATCACCTGTTAATAAATCAGGTTGCCCTGCTTCTGTGAAGTAGTTCAAGTAAAGATTGGTTTAGTATTAAAAGAAGACATCGGTTTATAAACTTGAAATTTTGCAAACAATAGACTATTCTGCTTTTCTTATAAATTTATACGGAGCTAACAGATGAATGGTTGATTTAGCTGCTTTTCCTCCCAAATTTTTCTTGGTAAAAAACATAAGCCTTATTCACCTAATTAACGTTTTCTTTTGCATATTTGTCTTTCAGGTCACTTCATTTATTGGTTTTCTGGATCCTCTTTGAAAATGTCATGTCATTGCATCGGACCAAGGCTACGTTCATTGGCCTGTTAGAGGCTGGTAGAGTAAATGAATGGATTGTCACTGAGAAACTAGGAGATGCACTCAAGGCTAAAGCAGCCACAAAAGCACCCCGAAAACCTCGTTTCAGGTTTGGAGAAAGGTACAGGCGGTCAAATTGAATCTGCTATTACAACCTTAACTTGTAATTCAAATTAGCCTAATACTGAAACCAAAAATAAAAGTTACACACTTTTATACTATTTGTTAGTATCTAATTCTAAGCTCTTATTGGCAGACTCCATTTCTTAGAGCTTTTCATCGGAGCTTACCTCTTCTTCTGTGGCTGCTACGATGCTGTGTTTGGGAAAAACCACTACTTCATATATCTTTATGCCCAAGCAATTGCCTTCTTCATCATGGGATTTGGATACGTTGGCACCATTGTCCCCAACTCTTAGTGCAGCTCCTAAGGTAGTCGGTGTAATTCTTATTGGCTACTAACGCTCTCAGCAGGATGTTCTATACTTCAGCAACTGAATATGTGGCGATTATGGAAAAATTTTCTTGCAATTTTAGTTATGTGTAAAAAGACAGGAAATGACCGTTATTCTTTAAGGTTGAGTATAAGAATTCGAGTGGATAACTCGAAACAAGTTAGTTCTCTTTGTGAATATCAATGAAATTAAGGAAAATACAGAACAAATGTTGCAATGGTAATGCATCATACAGAGAAGCTAAGGAGCAAATGAAGGCAGTTTCTCGGTTTAGACCCCAATTTGATACGGGGGAGATGTTGGAGTGAATTGTTTGCAATTGTATTTTTTTTTTTTCATTTTTGTACTCTTTCTTTTCCTCCTCTTTCTCATTCTGATGTGGTTGGGATTTGTTTGAGAAGGAATAAAATAATGGGAAAAGAGTAATTTTCACAGTTGATTCTCCATTCATCCTTGACTCTGTCTCTCACTTTGTGTAAGCATAATCCAGAGAAACTGCTTCTGTATATGACCCCATATTAATTGTGAACATTTGGTTATTTGATAGATAACAAATGCAACAGAGACGACTTCAATAATTCACAATTATTCGCAAGGGAGGTATAAAAAAAATGGAGGGGACTGCTTACACAAGAAACATAAGCAGGTCACTCGACAAAGAATTTGCAGTTGTGATCCTTCCACTTCTAAGTTACCTCACGATACAAAGCATCATATTTTGATGCACTCTTCAAAGCTCAAATCATTCAATGGCGAAATGCTGCTGAAGGAAATTTCCATTTCCTCTCCGGACATAACCTTTTTGAATTTTTCCTGCTAGAAAAAAAGTACTGCCGCCGTGAACCTATTTGTAAAGATCAGGTGTGGTTTCAGGATAGGGGTAGTTGATATCAAAGCCAGACGAAATTTTGGTGTCTTTTTTAAGTTTTAAGTGCCTTTCCATAAGGGACGACACAAACCAAGTTGCCAACGACCGACACTTATCATGTATCATTAATGACGACGATAAATTGGAGAAGGGCTTGAAACAAAGTGAAGTGACTGATCGAATTTATAATCTCAACAACACTGGCATTAATCTGGGTGGTAGATGCCAGCTTTTCTGTGGTTACATCATGCAACTAATCACAGGCTTTTCTATCCATGGATGCCCTTGGAAAGACATTAGGATCTTGATTATTAACAAGTACAGAAACGATGTCAAATTCTGTCGACACTGTGACAGAACCTGTGGCTTCTGTTCACCTTTCACCGGTGAGACCTGGGCATACAGCTTATAAAAGCATTATAAAATTGAATAAGATTTAAATGAAATTTTTTAAGTGAAGTTTATAATTTTTTTTGGTTAAAAATAATTAAATAAAAATTAAATTAATAAATTAAAAGATTTTATTATGTAGAATAGATCAAGTAAGTAAAATTTTAAAAAATTTTGATATATTTTTAGACAATCATTTTTTAATAAAATTTTTGACCATTTTTAATGTGAATAAGTATTGATTTAATTTTAATTATAAATAAAATTTTTAATAAAATTTTTTATATATTATTAATTTTTTTATTAAATTTTATTAATTTATCATTTTAAAAATTTTAATAAAATTTTAATTCAATCACTTATATTAAAAAATTTCACAAACTTCACCTAAATTTTTCCTCTAATTTATCCTAAAATTATCTTATCCATGATTAATGGAGTTTTTAAATTTCATCCACTGAACTTGCACATATTCCAATTTAAATAGTCCAAAGGCTGGGTCAACATAGTTAGATAATGGGCTTTTTTTTACGAAGTAAAAGAATCCCTTTGCAGGTTTCTCCTGGGTTACGTGGTAACAGACTTGGGCTACGTCGCCTAACTTGCTCCAACCTGTTGGCTAAAGTATTTAATTAAACCCTAAAAAAGGGTTTTTATAGAGTCAAAATCAGAACCAGTATCAGTGCCAAAATTCTAACATGGCAAAGCGTGTCACTCTTCTCCCCCAACTCTCCTTCAGTTCCCATAGGAAACTCAAAACTCCATCCTCTCTCTCTACACTGTCTTCACCTGAGAAAAACCAAGCCAGAGAAACCCCGACAGCCAACACCAATAGGAAAAATGACAGCTTTATTCATAGCCATGAATGCCACAAACATGTTCAACAGCTTTCAGCTTATCTCCAACAGGGCCAAACGGAAGCTGCTCAAAATCTCACAAAATCTCTACTTCTTTCAAAATCACCATTCTCTTCACCGTCTGATCTCTTCACTCTCTTCTCTGTTACCTCACCTTCCTTAAAACTCTTTTTTTCAAATATTCTCTTTTCTTTGTTAGCAGAGTCCAAAATGCACAGTGAAGCCCTGGAGTTATATAAAGCTATAAGGAAAGAAGGTATGCAACCTTCTATAACTTCTCTTAACTTGTTGCTTGACTCCTTGGTGTCTTTGAATAAGTTTGATAAAACCCTTAATTTGTTTGAGGAAATAATAGAGTCTGGTTTTAGACCTAATAAATTTATGTATGGAAAAGCTGTTCAAGCTGCTGTAAAATTAGGGGACTTGAAAAGAGCTTATGAGTTTGTGGATTCTATGAGGAAAAAAGGGGTGAGTCCAAGTTTGTTTATCTATAATGTTTTGATTGGTGGGTTTTGTAAAGAGAAGAGAATTAGGGATGCAGAGAAAGCTTTTAATGAGATTCTTGAGAGAAAGTTGGTACCGAGTTTGGTTACATATAATACTCTTATTGATGGCTATTGTAAGGTTGGGGAGTTGGAAAAGGCCTTTGATTTAAAAGAGACGATGGTAAGGGAGAATGTGGAGCCTAACCTTGTTACTTTCAATACATTGGTTAGTGGGCTTTGTCGTGCCCGTAGGATGGAGGAGGCAAAAAGGGTTTTGAAGGAAATGGAAGCACAAGGATTTGCTCCTGATGGGTATACTTGTAGCATACTTTTTGATGGGTTTTTGAAGAGTGGGAATGTTGAAAGTGCATTGGCTTTGTATGAAGAAATGAGTGGGAAAGGAGTTGGGATCAATAGATATACATTAAGCAATTGGTTAAATCATTTGTGCAAGGAAGGGAATTTTGACAAAGCAGAAGAGGTTTTGCAGAAAGAAATCGGAAAAGGGTTTGTTCCGAATGAGGTAGTATATAATACCATTGTGAATGGATATTGTCGAATTGGTGATATGAATAGAGCCATTTCAACAGTTGAGCATATGGAAAAGTTGGGATTGAGGCCTGATTGTGTTACATTCAATACTTTGATTGGCAAATTTTTTGAAATGAAAGAGATGGAGAATGCTGAAGAATGGGTAAAAAAGATGAGAGAGAAGGGTGTTTTGCCCAATGTCGAGACATATAACATCCTAATTAATGGTTATGGCAAAATGTACCTATTGGATAGATGTTTTGCTATTATAGAAGAAATGGAAAAGGGTGGGATTAAGCCAAATGTTCTAAGTTATGGTTCCCTCATAAATTGTTTATGCAAGGATGGTATGCTTCTCGAAGCTGAAATAACCTTCAGGGATATGTTAAGTAGAGGGGTGTTGCCTAATGTACTAATATATAACACCCTCATTGCTGGTAGTTGTGCAGCAGGAAAGTTGAACGATGCTTTCAGTTACTTTGATGAAATGGTGAAGGGTGAAACAAGACCAACAATTGTAACATACAACACGCTCATTAATGGGCTATGCAAAAGGGGAAGAGTAACTGAAGCTGAAGATTTGCTTCCCCAAATTACAAGTAGTGGGTGTAATCCTGATGTCGTCACCTACAACACCTTAATCTCAGGGTATTCTAATGCGGGAAATGCCCAGAAATGTCTGGAATTGTATGAAAACTTGAAGAGTTTGGGCATCAAGCCTACTTTAAATACCTATCATCCTCTCATTAGTGGATGCTGTAAGGAAGGAATAGAGCTTGCAGAGAGATTGTTTCATGAAATGGCACAGATGCATTTAACTCCTGATCTACTTGTATATAATGTACTGATTCACTTGTATGCAGAGCATGGAGATGTTCAGAATGCATTTTCTTTATATCATGAGATGGTAGACCGAGGAATTTGTCCTGACAAAATGACCTACAATAGCTTGATTCTGGGGCACTTCAGAAGGGGAAACTTGTCAGAAATAAAGAATCTTGTTGGTGATATGAAGGCCAAGGGATTGGTTCCTAAAGCTGATACCTATAACCTTCTGATTAGGGGATATTGTGAACAGAAGGATTTCATCGGAGCATACGTTTGGTATCGAGAAATGTTTGAGAATCATTTCCTTCCACGTTTCACTACTTGTAAGGAACTTGTGACTGGCCTTAGAGAGCAGGGAAGCTTGCAAGAGGCCCAGATTATCTGCTCAGAAATGAAGGCTAAAGGAATGGATAATTGGAGCTCTGCTGAAGACCTATCGGCTGTTGCCAATACGTAATTGAGGATGGATACCTGGTTTAGACCAGGCTCTCTGTAGAGCAATGTATTGACAATTAATGAGACAGGTATCCACTATTCTCAGTCTTGTGAAACTGATTTCTTCCTTTTTGGTGTTTTGCTTACTCTTTCTTCTAAATAACCTAAGGAATGCTGGCTAATCGGCCTGCAAAAGTCATTGCATCGGAGGAGCACTGAACAAGTGAAGGTTGAGAAGGATGACCGTGTTCTAGTTATTAATCATTGAGAATATTCTGCTATGCAATATTTCCTGTGTATAAGCTTCTAGCCTGATAATTGATATTCAAAGAAAGGTGAAGATGTTTCATATGTATAGTTAATCTCTTCCAACCTATGAGCTTCGTCTGCCTCTAATATGAGAGTGTTATGGTAACATGTTTATTAGAAATATCAAAGCACATGTAACAAAGAAACAATATATCATATCGAGTTATTACGACAATTTCTCTGTATGACGATTTTTGTTCTTGGATCTAAAGTCGGATTATAGAAAAGGATGGTATTTAAAAAACTAATAATAATAAAAAGAATGAAACAAAGAAAACAATGCTAGCCCTTTACGTCATGGTGCAACTTCTTATTTCTAGGATCTGACTACCAGTCACCAGTAAGCAGCCTACTACAATGAAGAAAAGAAAAAATATTCCTTGAACAATCTTTTTTTACTTTTTCTTAATGAGCCGAAACAATTATTTATTTTCCAACCCTGTATTCCTTTCCTCTCTCCAACTGTGACTTGAACTATTGATTTCACCATCTGTTCACATTTAGCAAGTTCAGCGTAACAAGAGATACTTAAGTTACTCCATTTACTTCCCGGGCTTTTATTTATGTCATATCTTCTCAGTCGACAACAACAAAAAAAGAGAGTGGTCACTAGGACTCACTTTAGCAGCAGGTTTTCTACTTTTATTTCTTCAAAATTTCAATAAAAAATGGCCAAATTTTGGCAATAAGGGAAGTCTTTCACCGTCAGTGACTGAAATAAAATATCATCGCATCAACAACGCAGGAAGAACAAACTTAGTATCAACTCATTATCATAGGTTAAGCATACATTCTAATTACAAGGCCTTGGAAGCAGAGAAAACTAGAAATACCTGCTGCTCTACTCGATTGAAACCTGGAACTGGAAGTGAAAAAAGTTCAGTTGCATAGTTAATGCACTCGTTCCTTTTACCACATAATGGAAATCGTTTGTACTTGTGCTTCGCAGTTTAATCAACCCAACATTAAAGAAAAAAAAAGAGGAAGCCCACGAAACATTCCATCGCATAAAACACAAGGGATTCGTAGAAAATCTCATTCATATCTTTTTATTGCCAACATTTCATTAGAAGATTCTCAGAGGCTGGTCATTTTCATTACCAAAGCAAAAACTACCCAACAAAGGAGTTTTAAGGAATAAAAACTACCCAATGTCCAATCTCAACAAAATCACAGCACTTTGAGAATGTCTTCAGCCCCACTGAAAGTAAAAGCACCACCTTCCTCCAAATTAAGAACCTTAACGACTCCATCTTCAGCCAAAAGAGCGTACCTCCTGGACCGAACTCCAAGCCCAACGGGCTTATCCCTCAAGTCCAATTCACACCCAATTTTCTTCGTGAACTCCCCATTCCCATCCGACAACAAAAAAACTTCGTCTTTAATCCCCAGATTCTCCTTCCACGCCCGCATCACAAACGCGTCGTTCACGGACACGCAGGCGATGGTGTCGACCCCTTTGGCTTTGAGTTCCCCTGATTTCTCGACGAACCCAGGAAGGTGTTTTTGGGAACATGTCGGAGTGAAAGCGCCCGGGACGGCGAAGAGGATGGCTTTTTTGCCGGCGGTAAGGGAGGAGACTGTGGTAGTTTGAAGTTCTCCATCGGAGTCGAAGTAGGAAAGGGTTGCGTCAGGAAGCTTCTCACCAACGGAGATAGCGGCGACGATTTGGGTTGTTTTGGTGGAAAAGAAAATGGGTTTTGAACCGCGGCGGTGGAGGTTGAGGGAAAGGGGAGAAATGGAGAGTTTTGAAGAAAGGGATTTAGGGGAAAGTCTCGTGGTGGTGTTGGAAAAAGAGAGGGCGGCCGGAGAAACAAATCTTGAGATTGTTAAGGAAGCTGCCATTGTTAATGTAAAAGTAAAAAAGAAGCAGAGACAAGACTGAAGAGAGAAGAGAGTGCGAGGTTTTTGTGGGAAGGGACGGAGGGAACAAAGGAAGTCACGTGAGAAGAAGAGTGTGAATGTTTGGCCAAATTATTTCTTTTTGGAGTTTTTTGTTGGGAGGATGGTTTTGGTTGAACCATATAATTGGACACCAAAATGTTTGATGATAATGTTGATTTTTTTTTTTTTTTTGCAATTTTCGTAGGATCAATTGTGTCTGGTAACTAGAGAATATAGATGAAAACAAGAGCAAACTTTTTTTTTTTTTTGAAAAAAGTGCATTTTCTTGTTTAAGTTTAGCAGTACTTCATTTTATTGGGAATCATCGATGTGGTTGTTCGAGGTCGTAAATAAAAGTTACCCGCAAATTAAGGAACGGTATATTGCGTTTTTATTAGGGATATAAATGGTATATTAATATTTATAAATTATTTATATTTATTTAAAATATAATTTGATTTATTATTATTAAGTTGAATTTAAATTTGAATAATTTGATTCATGAATCGAATCGAATTTAAATATTTTTATATTTGATTTAAGTAGTTCACGAGTCTAATTAAATTTTTATATTTAAATATATTTTTATTATTTAATTAATAAAATATTTTAAACTCGAGTTTGAATTCGAGTACAAATAATTAAGTTTTTATTAATTGAATTTATTTTTACATATTAATCGAATTTAATTAAAAAATTTTAAGTTGTTCAATTTTTATATCAAGTTGAACTTAAATTAAAAAAATAAAATTTAATTGAGTTTGAATCGAATTTTAAATTTTAAATTTCAAATCAAATTTAATTTCGAATTTAATATTATATTTACTCAAACTCAATCGATTATACTTCTAATTTTTACCCTAATATTAATTGGAACAAGATCATTTTTATAAAAAAAAACTAAGGGTTTGCAGTTGGTTTAAAACTTTAAATGATTTTACGATGATATTCGAGCATCACTAAATATATTAATTGTTAAGAACCGAGATGTGGCTTGCTGAGATCGAGTAATTATCAATCTATAAACAAAAAGCAAAAACCATAATGTAATTTTTTGGAGGTAGGAGAAACCAAAGTGATGTGTATCACAATCCCATATGCCGGAGACAGAGACGCATAGAAACCTTTTCAAGACAGCGAAATCACACTTATTATACATTAGTCACATGGCCTTCATCTGTCAGTTAAGACTCCTGAAAACCTGGATCAGCAAACCTAATTAAAGCTACCGTGAGTTGTAGTGACAGATGTAAACAAATATTCGAGCATTCAGGAACATTGTGTTCCAGTCAAGACGATTTAGATAATGGACTTATTAAGTTGCCAATAAATAAATAGCCTTTATTTTATAGGGTCAAGTTTTGGTTGAGTCCTTGAGGGGCCTTACCCTTACACGACTAATCCTCCTCTTCCAAAAAAATGAAAACAACTACAAAATGTTGAAAGCTAGCCCAGGCCAAAAAAATCCAAGTTTGATCAAACCTAAATCTCATACCTAACTACCGCATGTAGCCATGGCCCATATGTTTTAGTGTGCAGTGGCATTTATGTGCCGATGGATGAGCCGGATATTGGGCCATCCAAGCTGATCTGATCCATGAAAGATGAAAAACTTCCTTTGTCTACAGTTGCTTCCTTGGTTCAGTCATTACATGGGAATTGGACGGCCGGGTCACTCCAAAAGATCAATTAACATTGGGAAAGTCGCTGCTCCATCTAAAACGCTACCCCATACCTTCTTCTAGTGTAACAACATTGTTGTCTGCATTAGCTTTGTCTAAAGGCCAAAAGGGTTGGTCTAATCACAATTCTGTCTTGAATTAATCAACATGTTAGAAAATAATTTTGGTGCAAAAGGATAAATGAAACAGTTAATGGCCGACTTCAAAATGATCAACAATGGTATCATAGTACAAAATGGCATCAAATGAGTACATTCTTTACAATTTACAGAGGAACTGAGAAAGATGTGGAATGAAATTTGAGAACAACTAGCACAAAAGTATATGCCTGATGGATTCTCTTTTGCAATAGCAGTAGGTGCGCCTAACCCCAGGGGTAGGTGGGGGAATTCAAGTTAATAACTGTGGGCATAAAATTAGAATAAAAACAAAAAGATTCCTCCATGTAATTTTCACTTTCTTTGGTTCAAAAGGAAACAAGAAATAAAAGGCTGCAGCTTCATGCGCGAAAAGGACATCCCAGCTTATTGTAAGAGGACAAATATCTCCAGCCACTGGTTTTCAACTTTATTTATTTTTGCCGAAGGATTTACAACATTATTAATTAATATTTTTTGATAAATGATGTTTCGACCTGAAAAACAAATCACAGTTTTTTAAATTTAAATAATAAATTTATGAGATATTATTTTTAAAAAATGAAAATTAAATTAAAAATTGAATTTATTATTAATTATTATTTTTGGATAAGATTAAGCATAAAAAAAAGGAAATGTCACTAGAATTATAAGCTATATTATATATTGTGCTTTTACTATATTAGAAATTAAAAAAAAAAAAAAGTGTCCAATGTGGAAGTGAGCAAGACCCATCAATTAGAAACAAATGAAGATAATAGAAAGTGACAATTAAAGTATCTCTCTTGACAGGCTTATCGTCATCGAACATGCGTAATTCATAAAAATGATACATTATAAAACGACCAAAAATTATAAAAATTCTTAGAGCTGCATGCCAAAAAGTAAACAATTGACCTACTGGATTTGTTTCCTCCTTGTTAAAGAATTGAGTTCATTGGATGACATTAATCTACTTTTATCTTTATCTGATTTATTCTTTTTTCGAATTCAATCATTTCCTATTACAAATAGAAAAAAGAATCATGTTTTTTTTTTTCCAATTAGTTAAAGATAGTTTATCTCATTTTAAATTAGATTACAGGTTTTGGGGATAATTTAAAATAAATTTATTGATTATTTATAAAAAAGATTTGTTGATTATGAAAATTGAATTTAAAATTTAAACATAAAATATTTAACTTGTATCAATTAGGTTAGCAAAAAAAAAAAAAATCCATGCGTTGAATAAGAAAAGATCATTGATATAGTTTCCTTTTTCTTTAAAATGAAGTGGCATGATAAATGAAGACTTTGTGGTCCATAAATTATAAATATAATAATGCCCAGAAGGTGATAAACAATTAGTAATAAATTGCAGCTATTTTTGTCAACTCATAAAAATGCGTATCAGAACAGGAGGTGGCAGGGGAATAATCAAATACCATGCCCAAAATGCTGACTTATTTGAAAGAATCGATTGAACTCATGCCCTCCTAACACAAAATAGTCAAATAGAATTAAAAAACAGAGGTCGATTCATCACAACTGGCAATCTAATTAGTTTTTTTTACCAAAAATATAAATATAAAAAAAATTACAAAAGTTAAAGTTTAAATTATTAAATGTCACATTTAAAAAATATTACACAAATTAATTAAATTAAATTTTAAATATCATTGTACCTACAAAAGAATAAAATATAAAAAATTGAAAAATCCCATTGGACCAACCATGGTTTTTTTTTTTTTTTTTTGATGTTCATTACGAGACTTATGATGTTACATTTTAAAACCTAAGAATAAGAACAGTAAAATTGTATTTTGGACTTAATTTTTTGTGCATTTTCTAACTTAACAAACTACAACCTTGTAAAATTTAAAATAAAAAGGGGTCGGATAAATTAATTATGTACAAAGTTGTTCATAATGCATTAAATATAATTTTTTTTTCTTTCCCACGTAAAAATGAGAAAAATCAGCTCAGAAATATTTCCATTTTTAGTATTTTACATGGACAGCAAGCCGAAGACAGAATTTTCAACTAGACCCAGCAAACTCGGTAGGCCTCTACTTTAAACCATGCGCATCCACCAAAACAACATCCCATGAAATTCAAAATCGAACGGTTTTTTTTTTTTTTTTTTTTGGGGTTAAAATCAATAATTCTCATTAACCTAATTTCCTGTTTATAAACACCTCACTACAACCATTCACTTAAAAGCTCGCGTCTCAGCTCAAAAGCCGCCGTCCTTATTATCTCACTAGCTCTTCTCTTTAGATCTAAAAAAATCTTTTAATATCATGGCTGTTACCATCGTCTCCGTCAAAGCTAGGCAGATCTTCGACAGCCGTGGAAATCCAACGGTCGAGGTTCGCCTTCTCTCTTCACTTTCATTCCCTTTTCTATGCTTTGTTATGTCACCCATCTGTACATGTTGCATCTCCGTCACTCATTTCCTGATTAATTCTTTCTCGATCTATTTGCTTTTGGATTTTACTACTCCACGAGTTGAATCGGTCGAGTAGCTGAGTTTTTCTAATCAATTTCCGCTGATGGCATAGAATAAACGCTTTTCCGGTTGTTATTCAGTTATTTTAATGTTCAAATTTATGGAAAGTTTCAATTCGATTTTAACGGAAAATCTGACTAAATGTGATAGGTTGATGTGCAAACATCGAACGGTAAAAAAGTTAGGGCCGCTGTCCCAAGCGGTGCATCCACTGGTACGTTAATTTATCCGTTAAAAATATCTAAATAATTAATTTCTATTTTTTAATAATTTTATTCATTGATTTTATTTTATTTTAGGAATCTACGAGGCTCTTGAATTGAGAGATGGAGGTTCCGATTACCTTGGTAAAGGTGTATCAAAGGTCAGTTATCCTATTATCTTTTGTTTTCATTGGCATTAATTTATTTTATTAACAATTTGTTCTTGTAATATGCAGGCTGTTGCTAATGTTAACACAATCATCGGCCCCGCATTGATCGGAAAGGTTTGTCCCTAACTTGTTTTCGCCCCTGATTTCATGTGTTTTAATGTTTATGAACTGATAATATTCGATTTCATTAATTTTTAACTAGGCTTTGTGACTTAGTTTGGCTGTTATTTTTGTTACTACTTGCTTTTTGTTTACATAAAAGTTATTACTATATAATACAGAATGAGCTAATGTAAAGAACGTAGCATTAGGTTCGAGCATAATTGTTTCATATACAAGTAACATTATGCATTAGTAACTAAATAAATTGGGCATTAGTTAATTGTGGTGAACTCACGGTAATAATTCACGCTATATTTTGTTATGAAGTGTGCTTTTTCAATTGATTTCTATAGGACCCGACTGAGCAGACTGCTATTGACAATTTCATGGTTCAACAACTAGATGGAACTCAAAATGAGTGGGGTTGGTGCAAACAAAAGGTAACCTTGCCAATTGGTTCTTTAATGTCTTTCAAATGATTTTTGTTCTGAGGTTTCTTAAATTCTCCATTTAACGGTGTTGTGTTTCTTCTTTGTTATTTTTCTTTCAGCTTGGTGCAAATGCCATTCTTGCTGTGTCCCTTGCAGTTTGCAAAGCTGGAGCTGAAGTCAAGAACATTCCCCTTTACAAGGTACATTCTGGCTTATTGGACTTTCTTTTCTTGTTTTTTCCCTTTCTGTAGACTCGTGTAAGTATGAGAATATTGCTGTGTGAATGCGGGAATGATTTCTATTATGGTCTTCAAACCACTTAATCTTGTGTGGGTGATTTATTGTATGGAATTTTTTTTTATGTTCATGTCATCTGAATCTAATAAACCCACTTTTGTATGCAGCACATTGCTAACCTTGCTGGCAACAAGAAGTTGGTTCTTCCTGTCCCTGCTTTCAATGTCATCAATGGTGGTTCACATGCAGGAAACAAACTAGCTATGCAGGTATGGATCTTGATATTTTTATTGCCGTAGGTCATTTCTTTATATTGATGTTCTCGTACATCTGTGTCTGCAGGAGTTCATGATTCTCCCTGTAGGAGCATCATCCTTTAAGGAGGCCATGAAGATGGGTGTTGAAGTCTATCATCACTTGAAGGCTGTGATTAAGAAGAAGTATGGTCAAGATGCAACCAATGTTGGTGATGAAGGTGGTTTTGCTCCTAATATCCAGGTCAATCCTCAGTAATGAAATATCGTGGTTTATTCATTTATAACTGTTAAGTGTTAATTTTCTGTTAATCACTAGTTATTAATGTCATTTTTTGTGCAAGTTCAGGAGAACAAGGAAGGACTTGAATTGTTGAAGACTGCCATTGCTAAAGCTGGTTACACAGGCAAAGTTAGTGCCTCTTCTTAGTAACCTCGATGAATTCTCTGTTGTTTTGATGTGACGAGATGGCTAATTGAATGTTCCTTCATTATTCTAGGTTGTTATTGGAATGGATGTTGCTGCATCTGAATTTTATATAAAAGATAAAACCTATGACTTGAACTTCAAAGAAGAGGTGAACTTTGTCACAACTCAGAAGATATTCTCAACCATTTTGTCTATGATTACTGTATCATTAGATGATAATCTGTTTTTTCAGGTTGCTATGTTTATGTTATAATAACTTGTTTGCTTTTCATTTATTTCTATTGTTTGGCACTTCCAGAACAATGATGGCTCACAAAAGATCACAGGGGATTCTCTCAAAGATTTATACAAGTCATTCGTATCTGAGTATCCCATTGTGTCAATTGAAGATCCATTTGACCAAGATGATTGGGAGCACTACTCCAAACTAACCAATGATATTGGAGAAAAAGTTCAGATTGTGGGAGATGATCTCTTGGTCACCAACCCTAAGGTTAGAATTGACATTTCCTTTTGGGTTTTCCAAGAAATAGTGTATGTATCCCTAAGTATTCCTTCTGAAGGAACATGACATTTATATCCCTTTTTAACATCCGCAGAGGGTTGAGAAGGCTATCAAAGAAAAAACTTGTAATGCCCTTCTTCTCAAGGTACCATGGATTCTTTCTTTTAGAAGGTCATTTATGTTTTTTGGCCATGCCCTGGATATTAATCTAGATTCTTTCTTGTTATGAGTGGGAAACAGGTCAATCAAATTGGATCTGTCACTGAAAGTATTGAAGCTGTCAAAATGTCCAAGAAAGCTGGATGGGGTGTGATGGCCAGCCACCGCAGGTTTGAATGTCAACCTTTAAATGCTAAAATTGTTGATTTGACTTGTAAAATCAAAATTCCAGTTACTCACAGATTGTTTTAATTATTTTCTTGCAGTGGTGAGACTGAGGATACTTTTATTGCTGATCTTTCAGTGGGTTTGGCCACGGTAATAAATACTCCTGAAATATGAATCCAAAATCTTCATTGTTGCAAATTTAGATATTGTAATCGAATTCTGGTTCTATCACGAAAAAACACTATATGTTGATCTTAACATGTTTTCGTTTTAAAAAATTAGGGTCAAATCAAGACCGGAGCTCCATGCAGGTCTGAGCGTCTAGCTAAGTACAATCAGGTTAGCATCCACACCTTTAAAACAAACATATGTTTTCTTTCCTTGAATGATAATGCGAGTATTATGTTGTCACTAGTTGTGAACAACCTTTCGAAAGAAGAGAAAATTCTACCAATTTGTCTGATTATCTTGATGTTATTCGTTGTATCCAGCTTTTGCGTATTGAGGAGGAGCTTGGTGCAGAAGCCATCTACGCCGGAGCAAGCTTCCGTGCTCCTGTTGAACCCTATTAAGACTTTGTAGGATGACAGGTTTGCTGGGTGCGTGCGACAGAGCTTTACTTGGAATGAATAAGTTTATAGCACTCAGAGTGGTTTAGGACCCAAAACATTTTTCTATAATTTCGACAGAAATTTTGTTGCGAGAAACTTTTATGTCGAGATCTCTGCTCTGATCAAGCTCCATGTTTTTTTCATAATACTCTGCTTATGGGTTGCTGGTATTTTCAGAAATGATGGTTCGCTTTTTCTGTACTTTTGGGTTGATATAACTTGCTACGCGTAGATGCAAATTTATGCATGATTTATTGCAAGAGGATGGGCAGTGTATATTTTTCATGAGTTCTTTAATGCGATCCAGTCAATTACTCGTAGCGAATCGGCGATAAAATTTCGTAGTGACAGTTGTAGGCCAAAAGAAAACAGTTGAGAATTGAAAAACGAAAATCCATAAGGGAGTGTATAATCTACAAAGCTTTTAAAGATCAATATTGGGATGAAGGAATCCAGTGGGTAAGTGCAAATGACAAAAAGTGAGAATCAAAGGGCTAACAACAAACGAAGTACGGATGGAGAATTAGAAATCTATCTTTTTCAATGTCATCCAAATTCTTCTTCAAAGGGAAAAAAACAGGCGAAAAACGAAGGAGAAACTTATTCCAAGTTCAACAGTTGAGAAATGGAAGAAAATACCCTATGACAGTTGTGGAAAAACAAAGAATGCAGGCTGTGGGATTCCCTCCTATGAAGCAAAAGCCCTCAGGAAGGAGGAACAAGACTGTATTCAGACAAGAAAAATAGTAAGAAAACCCTCCGATCCTATCCCTACCCCCTTACAGAATGGAGGATGTGCGACTACACGTCTGAGGCTGGCCTCATTTCTTCCTGACTCCGAATCTGCCTCTATAGCAATTGTAGTGTGTTTGACTTGGTTTTAACATTTTAAGAAGCATTGATACTAAGTTCTAAATGAAAGAAGCAAAACACAAACAACAATCAAAACTGAACCATAATTAATTCAGTTATAGTAGCAATAACCTAATAATTTCAAAATACTATTCCTTTTGACATAGAAAGCATCATCTCGGACATAAGGCAATCTACGAACGACTACATCAATTACATTTATGTGAATATTCAACTAGTCATGTTCACAGGTCCATTCCAAAAATAACAAAATTCAAACAAAGATATATTAGACCAACTCATTTTCACACTGCACCGCCATGCTTTGCCTTGGAATGAGATTGTAAAGCATTTTCAGAGCCAAATGACCTGCACAAGTTTTGAAGACATACAATATTGTTCCAAATGTATACAAAATTAAAAAGTAGTAATTGGTTTAAATACTTAATAGAAAGAAGGAACTGACCTGCCACAAGACTTGCAAGGAAATGAACCACCTAACTTTGGAGTCTGCTTCATCTGAGCAGCAGCAGCTGTTGCTTTTCCAGCTTGCTTTGAAGGGTGAGGGGTTGCAGTATGTCCACTCACTTTCTTGCCATCTGCACCAAGGACTTCCAATTCTTTGACAATGTAATTTTCATTAAAAAAAAAAAAACTAACAATAGAAGAATGAGCTAGAAGGGAGAATCAGAAAAGGCGTAAGGAACAAATTTTATAATCGATGAAATGAGCATTATCATCCCTAATTAGTCATTTAGTAATCAACATCTCTAGAGGAGTGCAGGTGGGAGGGAAAATCTACCTGTCTTTTCGGGAGTGACTAGCTTTGCCTTCTTTTCTGGAGCAGGGGTCTTTGTAGCTGACTCCGCAGATCTCTTTTTGCTTGGTCCAGCCTAAGGAAAACCACTCACCAGTGATTAGAAAAACAACGTTTAAACCTCAGCTGAAGCCGCTCAAAGTCCTCAAAGGCAAACCTAAAGCATATGTCCCCTTACCTTCCCAGGAGTCTCTTGATCCTCATCTGAACTTTCTTCTTCACTATCATCCTCATCACTGTCAGTATCATCATCACTTTCATTCTCACCATTAACCTGCATGCCTGGCTCCTATAATGATAATTCAGAATCAACACTAATTAGACATGGTATTCTGTCCCAATTTGGGTCATGAAACAACAATAAAAACAACTATATACAAACAAATGTTCCTACCAAGATCAAGCCAGAGATAGGAAAGATTCGATACAGCAAATTATCAGGTCAAAAAGAAATAGCAGTTTGATAAAAAGCCGGACGAAAATAAGGGAAGGCATTGAAAGATTTGCCAGGTTCACAACACAGATAGTATGAAGAAACATTTAAAACTATTGCCCTAAAGCACCAGATATCGATAAAAGTTTAACACCCTATTTCAACTATTCATGACTTTGATTTACCCATAAAATCAGGAAGAGCTTATCAGCTGGGTACGATACTAATAGCTAGACATCTACCTGATCCTCACCAGACTCTTCATCCTCATCAGAACTATCATCTTCATCCTCATCATCACTACCATCCTCATCTTTTTTTGGTTCCACAATCTTAACCTGCTTTGACGTAGTAGGATCAGATACTGTAGCATGAGGCTTTATGGGATTAGTTGTAGGTTCAGGGAGCTCCTCTTCAGACTCGGTATCTGTAAAGTAAAAATTAAAACATAATTTACAGATTTAAATAGTACTAACAAACACCGAATAAATAGAAAATACTAGCATAATGACCTACCTCCACCTTGAGATGTATCAACATAATACCCAGTGAAATAGACACTACCGTTCTTCCAGGTATGGGACAGCTCAAATTTGTCATGCAACACCAAATCCAAGGGTATCTGCGGGAATTTCTCTTGGGAAAGTGTTCCAATTACAAACTTCTCATTTTTGAATTTAAGATAGATGCAAACAGTTTCCTTTCCTTTTTCTTTCTTGTTATCACCAATCACCTCACCAAGGGCAACCTGAGAGTTATATAGCGCAAATTTAATAGATAGACACAAGTAATGTCAACACACAAATAAGATAAAAACCAAAGTTCCTTAAGAATAACCTGTGAAACATGCAAGATCCTATTGCCATCATCCTCCAGTTCAACCTCAAAGTTCTGACCACTTTTAACCTCAGCACCTACATATACATGGCCAAATTTCAGGGAGAGGTTCATAATTCATTAGACCAAAAACATGGAAGAAGTAAACACTTCAACAAGATAACATCATGAAACTCAATACCAAGAGTAGCAACAGAGAGAACATATTCCAAAAGGTTTCCCACAGGGTAGTCCAAATCAAAATATCAAAAGAAAAAGATTAATACAAAACCTTAACAGCAGTCCTAAGAAATAATGATTTAACAACAATAACAAACCCATTTCACAGTTTTTTTTCTTCAATATGCATAACCATTCTAGTATTTGACTAACTCTTGTTGCGCTCAATACATGGGATGATGGAGAAAAAAGGTACTGTTGACAAAAATTAGAAAGTAATTTCTCTTTTTTTTAATTAAAAAAAATTAGTCATTTTTCTTTAAATAGAGTGAAATGAAATCCAAGAAAACAATTTTATTAAGTTATTTGAAATTTTACGTAATGTTGTTAACAGAATCAGTGTCTCTTAACTCAAGACATCAATTTAGTAAGTGATTTTATATTAATAAGAATTCCATGCCGCACTGTATCTACAATTTTTTTTTCTAAAAATAAAGAATGAAATAAAAGAAAAAACGAAATTTAAAGTAAAATAATTTGCAAAAGAAACAGCCCAAAAAAATCAAATTCCTGTTGGAAATCAGTAACTGAACATATGATTAACATTTCAAATCAGAAACCAAAATAATCGAATAAACAAACGTAAATAATCATTATTTCAGCTAGTTCCGTAACTCAAAGAAGGATTAAAAGAAAAAAAGACCTAATCGAGAGAAATAATTGAAAGAAAGAGAGAAAAAGCTTACCCCAAAACTCCATTGAGAGTGTGAGAGAAGAAAGCTTAGGGTTTTTCCGAGTTTTTGAGATGAAATTTCCCAAGTAAGTTCGGTTTAAGCGACTAAGTGACCTGCAACTTTTATAGGCAGTCGGTTAACTTAGTGAGGATCGGGGCCTGGCTGTGATTAGGTATTGCGCGGAGCACCATTAGAGGTTTTAATATGGCTTTATTGGGTAACAAGCATTTTGGGCTTTTGTAACAGAAGGTTGTAGCCCAAAACTCTTGGACCTAAGGACAACCCATGCTTTTATTTGGTTTTGTTTTGTTTTATTTAGTTATTTATTTATTTTACAAATTTGTAATAATAAAAAATAAGAAATCAAAGCATAAATCAAGCAATTATGTACCTTAGGAAAATATCATAAAATTTTAAGTTGATAAGTAAATTTCTTAATCTTCTATGGTTGCAAAAAGCATTAATATCTTTTATCTTGAAAATTTTGGGCCTTGAACTCCTTTTATTACTCTTTTATCTATTATTTTTAATACATTTATTCATTTACGTGGGATCGACTTGTAAAGTATGAAAATCATTTACAAAAATGATTTTGATGAATGTTTTAAAAAATAAGTAAAAAACTAAACATCAGTGTACCTGAAATAGTGGATTCCATAGTCAGAAATGATGTGAAACTTTAGTTAATGAATATTTTTTTTATTTGTTTTGATTATTAAACTTAAATAAATTTGTTTTCCCCAAAAAAATTACAGCAAAGTGAAATTTAAGTGAAGTAGCGAAGCGATGTTTACCAACAACAGTGGCAGTCCCCTCACTCTAGTCAGTAGGGTGGAAAAACGTATAACAGAGCTCTAAATTTCTTCAAAACGAGATTCAACACTCAATAACAGAAAAATGGATCTGGGTTTTCTTCTAAAGGCCTTAATTCCCTCGTGGAACTCTGTAACCAACTCTTTCCACCTTGAAACTCCTCACCGTTTCAATTCATTTTAGCTTTCTTTTGAAAATTATAAAAATTGCTTATGTATTTTTGGTAGGTTGCTGTTTTGATGATATTCTTTGCTTACTTAGCTGTTGCTGGATCTATTTTACCTGGAAAACTTGTTCCTGGAGTCACCTTACAAGATGGGTCTCGTCTCCATTACTGCTGCAATGGTCTCTTTATATGCTGATATACTTTAAAACAGTTAAACTTTTTTATGCAACTTGATTTGTTTCATTGATTTTTTTCCCCAAACTCTGGACAGGATTGCTAGCACTACTTTTGTTAGTTGGGCTTCTTGGGGTTGGATCTAAGGTGAATTTCGTATCACCCACGGTATGTATTTACCAGCCTGCTACTAATTTATATACGTACTTATTGGAATCTGATGCCTTTTTTTGTTATATATTTGTCTTTGGTTTAATGATATTTTGGTAAGCTTCTATTTATATATGTTGTCAATATCAGTATGTGAAAGTGTTTTAAGTATATTTTTTGGACTTCCCTTTTAGTGAATTTTGGTTTGGATTCTATACAATGCAATCTATTGAACAATTGAGGCCAGAATTTAACTGTCATCAGCTCAAGTATTGAAGATACTGACTTTTTTCTTTTTCATCTTTCCTTTGATTTTTAGATTTAAAACAATGCAAATTTTTTTCATTGGCTGTTTTCTGCACGCTAATGTGACTACATTTATCTATCTGTTGTTATGAAAAAATTTGCAGGTGATATCAGACGGAGGACTTGAGCTGTTATCAGCAACTTTCATATTCAGTTTTCTTGTAAGTTGCTATCAATTTTCTGATAGGTTGTTTTAGACATACAGTAATCCTTTATTTGCATGAAGTGCTGAAACTCCTTAGAGTCTAAATGGTACTGGTTTAAATGCAAATTGATTTTGGCTGCATCCAATGTTTTGGAATCCTTAAACTTCTTTTTCAATTTGTTGGCTTGATGAGATCCTCTCTATAGATCAACTATATCAAACATGCACAAACCAGAAACCATGAAATACTCCACTCCATGTGTAAATAGATTAACTCAAGACTTTGATAGAAAAAAGTTACAGGAAAGTCCTGCTGCTTCGCAAGTTGCTGTGGGGAACTTAGTTGATTTTTAAACTCAATGACATAAAAGAAATATAGTCCCAGAGGAGCAAAGGGTTTTCCCTCAATATTCACTTGTGGTGGGACTGGGAGATAATTGTTGCTTTATTAGTATCCTTTCCTTATTCCATCTTGTGAGATCTATCTTCCCTTATGTTTCATATCTTCAAAACAAAAAGGTTCAGCATTTATTGTTGTGTATGATGTAAAGTAGCCTCTGAAGTGTGACTATAGGCTATTTGTTATACTGTAGCCTTCTCTTTTTTTTTTTTTTATTTGGTATGGAGTTATTTTTTTTTTCTTTTTCTCTAATTTGTCTTTGCATTTCCCTTTTTGTTTCCTTTTGTCAGGCAATGATGGTACTCTATGCTGCTGGGTGCAGGTCCCAAAGTAAACGTTCTTCATTAAAGCCTCACATCACAGGAAACCCGATACATGACTGGTACTTTTGTTAACAAATGTTTATAACTTCAATTTATATCTATTTTTTAGTAAAATTGACTTGGCTTAACAAATTCTTTTTTAATTGGGAAAAGGGTTTTAGCAAGTAATGTAAATATTTTGCTGCCCATCATTTAGGTAACTTCAAAAGGGTTTTAGTGGCTTTTATGACCTGCTTGAAAGGAATATTTTGTTTTGCCTCATTTAACTATATTGTTTTAAAATGAACAGTTAGGATATAGAGGCATGCTAAATTTGTAATCCTCCATAAATTCTTTCATACCATCCTTAGATATAATGTGTTCCTGATGAGTGGACAAACTCATTCACCCATGATTCTGATGTCCTATGAAAAATAAATATTACGCTTCCTGTAATCATGGATTGTTGAAACCCATCTTTTTTTGGTAGAATAATTGACATTTAATCAGCTTCATTTTAGCTTTATTTACCATCATTAAATCTATGTTTCTGTAATAAATACAACAAATTGATCTTTTGTCATCACTTATCTTATCTCCCTTTATGTAGAATTTAACCATTGTGTGGCTATCATGTTTATTTTAACTGTTGTTGCCTTTGAAAATGATAGATACAGTTTTTGTGTTCTTTGCTCTATTCCAAGTCAGTTGTTGTACTTTATTTTTCTTTGTTGCCTTCTGAACAAACAAGAAAATATACGAATCTGTGCTCTTGATATTTTGTCTTTATATAATTTTATAGGTGGTATGGGATGCAGCTGAATCCTCAGTTTATGGGTATTGATCTCAAGTATGTGATTCACTTTTCTTTTTTCACCACATGTTTTCTGCTTCATAGGACTAAAACTTCTGTCATTGCTTTGCAAAATAGACTGACTATTTGCGTCTTATATAGTCTTAGTTGTTCAGTCTCCTTATGACAGATCAAAATAATACCTGCATGTCTATGCTATGATGAACATGTTCCTTTTACTGATTATGGAATCATCTCTATAGATTCTTCTTTGTTAGAGCTGGAATGATGGGATGGCTACTTATCAACCTATCAATTCTTGCAAAAAGTGTTCAAGATGGCACTTTGAGCCAATCAATGATCCTCTACCAATTATTCTCTGTGGTAATCTGGTTGTTCTAATGAAGTCTCTTTTCTCTCTTGACTCTTGCTTGTTTTTTTTTTCTCCTGAGAAAATGTCTTACTTGTTTTACACCAATGCTAAGTAGTTTTTCTTTCATACATCTTTTTTCCAGCTATACATCCTGGACTATTTTGTTCACGAAGAGTACATGACCTCCACGTAAGTGCCATTACCTCTATGCTATAATTATCATAGAATGACCTTCTTTCTTCTGACTCTATTATGCCACTCATTAGACTGACTATATGTCAGTGATGGATAGCTAATCTTGACTATGGCTCTCAGTATGGTCATTGTTCGTCATATTAGTCAACTATATTAAAGGAAGTTGTGGGCATCGATTCCCAATGCTGACCAGCGAAGTGATCTTTAGATCCTAATTCCAATATCTAATAATGGCATTGTTCTTCATATTGTTCAGCTTTTGCTGCAACTAGTTATTCACATTAGTTCCTAATATTTACCAACTTGGTGCGAAAGAGTTGCAGTGGACAAGGTATTCATGTAACTAAAGCATGTCATCTAATGTAAATCATCCACAATATTCTAAATAAAACCTTTAAGTTGAATAACTGACATAAGTCAAGCTAAATGAGTAAAACCAAGCTGAATTTAACAAATTGTTCGCAAAATCAAGCTTTAGTTTGTAAATGCTTTCTTACCATGATGTTAAATTTGAAATGAGAATTACAATTCCCTGGTTGAATTATGGTTTTCTATACAGTTACCTCTCTCCTTGGCATTGTTGTCTCATTTCCCCTGACTGAGTTATGTAAGGTTGTTGATTTGGCCATTTCTATATGATATACTCACTTAATTAACCCATTAATATTTGGTTCTCTTTTACAGCTGGGACATAATTGCTGAGAGATTGGGTTTCATGTTGGTCTTTGGAGATCTAGTGTGGATTCCTTTCACATTTAGCATCCAGGCATGTAGCAATGGCTTTGATAGAAAAACTTTATCAGCAATTTGCACCACATTTTCCAAGGAGAAATTTTGAGCTCCATAATCTTGTGATCATAAACTGAATTAGAGAAATTTTGAGACCTATGAAATATAAAATGGATTTCTTGTTTGTGAATTAATAGAATGGTTCCATTTTGTGTATTGCTCGAAGGTGTATCTAGGAATGCAGACTCTAGTATTGCCATCATTTTCCAATCCTTGTTGGGATGACTGTAAGTGATGGCAAAATAATGTCTTAGACATCACATAGTTCATATGGCTCTAGTATTGCCTTCATTTTCCAATCCTTGTTGGGATGACTGTAAGTGATGGCATCATAATGTCTTAGACATCACATAGTTCATATGGTGGAAATATAGTTTTCTCTCTTTCTTTTTTTCATGTACTCAGTACCTGAGTGCTGCTGCTAGAATCAGCTGATGTGTAAGGTATCTAAGTTCATTTTGTATATCATGGAGAAAAGTTGAGTGCTACATTCTTCCTTCTCTATCGATGTTCTTGTGGAATCACCCTGTTGCTTCCAATTTAAGAGTATGTGAGAAGCAAATAATGTAGCAGTTTCCTGTTTTTACTATTGCTGCAGCTACTTAAAGCTGCTATCCCAATATATAGCAGATTTAACCTTTGGATTAATATTGAAATGATTCATACAAAAGAAACCAGTACATGCAGTGAGAAATATGTTCTTACTGAAGCTTGAGAGACATTTAGTGCATTGCAGCAAGAAAACCATACGAAGTTAGGCTTTTGGTAAATTTCTCTTCACCTTTGCTGCAGGGTTGGTGGCTTTTGAATAACAAAGTGGAGATGACAACAGCTGCTGCAATAGCAAATTGTTTTGTTTTTCTGATTGGGTAACTTTCTACAAGCATATAGGACATATATTTGCCCAATTAGCCTGACTTTTTACCACATCTTATTTATTCTCTTTGAATTGACAGCTACCTTGTATTTAGAGGAGCCAATAAGCAAAAGCATATATTCAAAAAGAATCCCAAGGCGCTTATATGGGGTAAGCCTCCAAAGGTTATCGGAGGAAAGCTGCTTGCTTCTGGATATTGGTAAGATTTCCATCTCATTGTTATCCCTTCTGGTCATTGATGTAATTGCAACCATTTAATGTTGATTAGTCTGGACAAGAACTTTTGAGAAATAAACTTTTCAACGATTTTTATGCAATTTGTCTTTAGATTGATCACAGGTGGTCAGAGAGAATGTTGGAGTTGGTTTTAAACCTAAAGGAAGTTATTGGTTTTTATATCAAGTTAATTTTTCAAAGACGATACATGTTTCCAATCATCCCTGAATGTGTTATATAACATGTGTTGGTGTGACTCTTTCTTGGAAACATATTTGACACCTCAAACGAGTATTTGTTTGCCCTCATCTCTTTGGCCTAGTGGCCAAGTAGCTCTTAAGAGGACGCAGAGGTCTTGGTTCAAAACCAAGACCTCCTTCTCTTCCCCCATCGCCTATGCCCAAAAAAAAAAAAAAAATAGTATCTATTTGGGGTATAAGCTTCCAAATATAAACATATTCTTTTCACTTTGATCATATGTCGTGATTTTTGCTCATAATCACTATTTCTGGCAAAAACTATCTTCTGTAGTGATATGTCCAATTCTCTTGATGCTTAGCTGATGCTAATGTCAGTATTCTGGTAAAGGGGAATTGCAAGGCACTCTAATTACCTTGGGGATTTGTTGGTGGCATTGTCCTTCAGTTTACCTTGTGGAATAAGGTAACTTTCCAAATTATTTGCATGATAAACTGATGTAATCCTACATCTTATAGGCTTATGTAGTACAACCATGTCCCCTGTTGTTTTTGCAGTTCCCCCATTCCATACTTCTACCCGATTTATCTGTTCATTCTGTTGGTATGGAGGGAAAGGAGAGATGAAGTCCGTTGTGCAGAGAAGTACAAAGACGTATGGGCTGAATACTGCAGGCTTGTTCCATGGAGAATATTTCCGTATCTGTATTAGTCACCGAAAGCTGCTGGAATATCTATTCATAACTTTTTTTTTAGTACTTGAGATTGTCAGAATTGAAAGCTGGTTAATAAAACTAAGGGTTCGGCATTTATTCACCGACCGATCACATTGTTGTTGGCAATCTACTCGTAATTTAATTTAGCTTGTATCATGAACGTAGCTTCAATCTTGGGTTAGTTGCCAATGTCAGCAGGAACTAAAAGAAACTTTGGGGGCCCATATATGAGTTGTTCCTTAATGACCGAATTAACCATTTTTTTCAGTAGCAGCATCTCATTCTTAAAAGGCTTGTGGTCTTGGGTTTTTGAGATCGAGTGAGGAGCAAGCATTGGCATCTGGGGCAAGGGATGAAAAATGATAACTTTTCTCATCATGTATTTCAATGAAAACAATAAACAACAATACCACTTCTCTTGTTTGATATCTGCACTTTTCTAAGAATCTGATGCTTCCTCGTGGTGGGAATCATAAGTGTTGGCATCCTTGCTGTTTTCTTTAATTTCATTATTTCCACTAAAGAAATCAATCAGATTCTTGACTGAGTTCCAAGTAATATTTTTTAAGAGTCTGGTGTAATTGGTGGGTGGGGTTTTTGTCAAATAGTTCATTGTTTTCCGCAATTAGTCAAATATAGAGCCAAAATGAGTAAAGAAAGTGGTGGGGGGGAAGGGACCACTCTTTTTGTCCCTTTTTTCGATGGTTTTTCTCGTCCTTATCATCCAGCTGGGAAAAGCCTGGAAGGCCTGCCCTCTTTTCCTTGCTTTTTCTGTTACATCATGCAGTGAAGTCACTATACATATATATATATATATATATATATAGAGAGAGAGAGAGAGAGAGAGAGAGAGGAGATGGGCATTGATTGCGGTTTCAAGGACTCGGTGATCCATTTCAATTTGCAATTTTGCATTGAGAAAAAAAAAAAATCATCTCCAACTGACGAGAGGTTGGTCGGTCTAATTGATAAGAAAAATATTTCTCTGATAATCAGAATTCAATCCCTATGCAAAACATTTCGAAAATAAAATTTTAAATATACCAAAAGATGACGGGGAGAGCATTTTATTTTAATAAAAAAGTTACACTTAAACAAAATTTAAAGATACTTCTAATTATATCACACGAAAAGAATAAGTAAGAGAAATTATAAAATATATTAACAAAATTTTTTTAATTTTACAAATAAAATTAAGATTATGATATATATTTTATAATATATATTTTAAAAAATTAATTAAAAAACATATGTTTTTTTGTAAAATTAAAAAAATTTTGTTATTAATGAATCAAATAATTTATTAAAAATATAAAAATTTTCATAATTTAACTCGATTAATATTTTTAAATTCATAAAATTTAAAAAATACTTCTAATTATATCACGAAACAAAATTTAATTCATTTAAATTCACAAATTGGGTCGAACTTAAAAAAAATCTTATACAAGACTTGAGCTAGGCCTGCAAATCTGAAACATCGACGTCTGATCCATGAACATGTCTACATTAGAATCTTTCTAAGCAACTATGGGTTTTGGATTATCTGTCAACTATTTTTTTTTTTTTTATAAATATCCATGAGCCTTCTTAGTAAATTCCTTTGAGTGGAAGAACAAAGATTTTAAAGTTGAAAGCTCAAGCCGAGGTAACATCTTAATTTATGTGGTTTTCTCAGTAATTACTACTTTGAGCGTGAGTTTGACTCCGTCATACTATTTGAATAAAAGCATAATTTATATATGAAAAATTAAATGAATAAAAAAATACTTAAATCAAATGAGAGAATTTCTTGTTCAATGTGTTTATCAATGAGCATATTTCTCAAACTTCCCAATATAGTCCTTTATTGAAATAAATTAAAATTTTATCACAATTTTTTTAATTTATCATATTAATTATTCGTTATTTTAAATATTTCATAACAGTATATGTGATAATCCTCTAACCTAATACTTGTACGAGGTACTTTTCTCATGTCATAAATCAATTGAACATTTACAAAAATCAAATCAATTTTATTTGTGAGCCAAATAGAACAGTCAATTAAAACCCAAACTAACTCAAGTGGTCATTGTGAATGGCTATGGCAATTTCAAACCTTGAGCTTTCGACTTAATAATCAAGTATTTATTAACATCCACTGTAACGCTCGAATCAATGACCCTACAATATTTTTTTTAGAAAATAACCCAACAAAATTTGGACCTAATTAGGTGATAAAATAGGCGAATTGGGCTTACCAATACATTACAATGTCTTGTCAGACATTACATTGGGTCGAACTTGTCCGACATGATAAAATATAAGAATGATATAATAAATTATTTTTAAATTATAATAAAATATTAATATAATATATTAATTTTAAAAAATTTTAATATGATATATAAATTATAATTTTTTTTTGTTACATTAGGAGAGCAATGCTCTAGTACAAGTAAAAAGGAGGGGGAGACTTAGTTCAAAAATTAAGTCTTTAATGTCTTTTCAAGCGCCTTTTACTATTAAAAAAAAAATTAATGACATAAATTATAAATTTATTAATTAGAATAGTACTATAAGAGTTATTTATTATCAAGTGTCATAATTTTAAATTGAATATCACATTAGTTAATAAATTTATTATTCAAATAATATATCAAAAATTTTTAAATTCAGATACTATATCAAATATTTCAATATAATTAAAAAGATCATTTATGATATTAATTTGAAAATATAAACTGCGCGTACACAACCTAAAGTTTTTTGAGTAAAAAGCCTAACACGACCCATAGCCCATGGACCCATAGGATCATGCCACACCAAGCCCCACACATTTTAGTGACCCATGAGAAGCTAAATTGAACAAATTCGATCCAATATAACTTTTTTTTAGTTGTTTTTTTATAGATTTTCTTATTTTATTTTATGTATTTTAGTGTTATAATTATATATATAAAAAAAGATTAAAGAGGAAAATTTTGACAAACGATTAAAATGCCCACATTCACAAAAGTAGAAAAAAATTTCATTTATGAATAAATAAATTTTACGACTACCTACCGATCAAACAAGTAACAAATAAAAAATTTAAGGGATCATGTGATAAGAAGAGAAATACAAATTTTAACTTTTTAAATTTTATAAGTTGGGAATATCATGCAAGCTCATGGGTCATGCCATATTGGACAATACTCACAATACATGACATCTTGGTGTAGTGAACAGCCATACTAAGATCCATTGCAATTTTTTAATATAAGTCGTGCTTGACACAATTCATTATTATAATTAGATGGACGATGTTAATACAACTTAATAATTTATGATAGGTTAATTGGGCTTTGCTCCGTGCCATTTACTTATTTTGCCATCTCTAGTGCTAAATCACTCGCTCAAGTAAAAAATTTACACTCAAATTGATAATAATGAATGACTAGAGATATTGTATGAGTATCATCACCCATATTCATTATTTAGTCACTTAAGATTCAATACGGAATGAGACATCTTACTTATGTATATCATATGTTTGGGGAGTTCAAGTTTAGGATTCAATTCCTTCTACTCCACTGATAATGCCCACGAAAAGACTCTCCCTGATGCTATTATAGATTGATTGAAAAAACGAGATTCATTGTGCAAATAAAGAATAACGGACCTCAAATTATTATTATGGCATTTTCATTGTGTTGGTCCCCTAATTGTCATGAAGGTTAAATTGATCAACCGTGGTTAACATGACGAATGGGGCCAAAAAAAAAAAAAACAACCATCAATGTAAAAGGAGTGGCAAGCGTAAGGATCAAGGAAACACTCAATTTTCTTAGAAAGGTGGGTTTCGGAAAGCATCTCTTGAAATATTTCCATACCTTATCCTTCATCTATTGCTGATTCACATTTTCTTCATGTTTTGTTTGTTTTTTTCCTTTCCTTTTCCACTATGAATGCACTTCCCACATCCACCGTTCAACTTGTTTTGGGGCAACAAAGGACACCTAGAAAGAAAGAGAGTCTAAATATGGCTTTTTCATAATTCAAGGGTTAATTTAGTCTGTTTGTATAATTATTCTTAAAAAATAATATTTAATAAATTTAAAATTTAAATTTTAATATTTATAATGTTTTTTAATTTTCATATGACGATCTTTTTTATATAAAAATATATAATTTGCTCATCTACCAAGTGGATATTCTCAATTTTAAAATTTAAGATTTCATGGGTCTTAAAGATATATATATATATTTTTTAATTTTGAATGAACGTAATAAAATTTATGAAAAAATAAATGTATAGTACTTGATTTTCTTAGTAAAATTATATTTTTCTTTTCTTATCAGTTTATAAGTCTTTTTGCTTTTGTATAACGTGATAGTATCATAGGCTCACAGCTCAAATTCATGAATAATTTTTGTGCATCTAAATCAAAATTTGAGCTGGGCCTTGGATAAAATATCTATTGCTCAAGGCTAACTTTACTCGAATTCACATATATATAAATTATATATAAATTAATTCACATATATATATATACAAATTAAAAATAAAATTATATATTTTATTAAACTTAATTTTATTTTTATTTTTAATATATTTATTAATTAAATATAATTCTATTAAACATAATTTAATCATACTTTTTTAATTTTTTATTATATAAATTAAGTTTAGTGGGTGAATTTATGATTTTTTTTATTTGGGTCGAGTTTTAAAAAATTTTAAAATCCAAAATTTTAAATCAGACTGGACTTAGGTAAATATATAAATTTGATCCAAATTCAACCCATCTCATGAACACTTCTAATCATGGCCCATGCCTGCTACACCCTTGCATATATCGTTAATCTTATATTAAAATTTTGTATTTTTATTACTTTTATGCATAATTTTTATGACAAATATTCATATATCGTTAATGTACAAGACTAGAGTTAGCGTGCATCACATGCATGACTAGTTGCAGTCTTGGCATGTCACTTTCGTTGCTTTTGCTTTTGTTTTTGTTTTTTTTTAAGTTTCAAATAATAATTACAATTTAGAAGGGAAAATTAAAAATATAGCTAAGAGTGTAGCTTTATTGTTATAATATTAGATTAGGAAATATTTAGATGGATTTAAAGCTTAAGCAAAGGAAAATGTTAAAAGGGAACACTAAATAGTATATAAAAAAGGAAAAATTTTTCTAAAATTTTAAATGATAAATTGATAAATGAAAAATCAAAATAATGATAAAGGTGCGAGTCACCTTTCTTCTCATGACAAAATTTGAGGAAAATAATGGGTGAAATATAAATCTATATATTAGTATTTTTAAAGAAAATTAATCATGAAAAATATGAATATGATAATTTTAAATACACTCGATTATATGATAATTTTCGTGTTTTATATATATTTAATACGAACTAAACAAATATAAATATACAAATTGTCACAATCCTTAACTTAATTGCTTTAAAGTAAGATTTTCATCAAATTATGAAGATAAATTGGTTTGTTAAAAATAAAAAATAGACTCGAGATTTTTCAAATGAAAGGAAATAGGCGAAAAAAAAATTAAAAGTGTTTTATTCCATCCGAAATAATAATAACTGTAAATTTTGTATTTCCAAAACAAAAAATAGATTATTTTGTTTTATACTAATATGTTATTTGTGTTTTGCA